GCCGCTGCTACAGGTACTTGTGTCAGTGGTTAAAACATCCACTATGAAATCGTATTAATAATTAATGACCCTGTCTGTACCTGGAGCCTGGCCCTCGACACATTTACTGTTAATCGATGCACTTCTCACAGACGCAGCTGTCATGTTACATTCCAGGCTTCTGTTTATTCCAAGTAAAACAAACACTTTAAATTCACTTATTCAATTAATCCTGTTCAAGCAGAACAGACAAATTATTCTGCACTCAGTTCGACGACACCATATTGAGGAGATTCTACAATAACAAAAGCATTCAGCAGTCATTTCATTAGGCACACCTGTTCTGCTGCTTGTTAATGCAAATGTTAACCAATTACATGGTACAAAGACAAATCTATTAAGTGTGTAGACATGGTCAAAACGGCCTGCTGAAGTTCAAACCAAGCACCAGAATGGAAAAGAAAGGTGATTTAAATGTTGATGTCTGACGGGCTGAGTATTTCAGAAACTGCTGATCTACTGGGATTTTCCTGCACAACCATCTCAAGAGGTCATGGAGAACGATCTGTGTGAAAATCTGTGTGAAAATGCCCTGTTATCTCAGAGGTTAGAGGAGAGTGGCCAGACTGCTTTGAACTGGTAGGAAACTAAGTCAAACAACCGTTTTATACAACCAACGCACAACACGTCAAACTTTGAAGCAGAAAATAACCCAGGTTCCACTACTGTCAGTTAAGATCAGGAAACTGTGGCTACAATTCACACGGGCTCACCAAAATTGGAAAACAGAAGAATGGAAAAAGAATTTGCCTGATCTAGTGTCTTGATTTTCTGCTGTCACATTCAAATGGCCGGGTCAGAATTTGGTAGAAACCGCTTTCAAGCATGAAAGCATGGATCCATTCTGCCTTGTCTCAACACTTCAGGCTTGTGATGTTTATCTAATGGTGTGACGAATATTTTCTTGGTACCCTTTGAACCCTTTAGCGCCAAATGAGCATCTTTAAAATACCACAGTCTGCCTCATTATTGTTTCTGACCATGTCTTTCCCTTTTTGACCACATTGTATTCATCATCTGATGTCGGTTTTCCAGCAGGATAAAGCACAAAGCTCACAATATCTCAAACTGGTTTCTAGAACATGACAATGACTTCACTGTTCTCAAATGGCTTCCACAGACACCAGATCTCACAGAGAGAACCTTTGGGTTGTGGTGGGATATCATGGATATTATTGGATATCCCAATTCTTTGATCTTTGGGCTGAAGGAAGAACAACACTCGGTGTATAAATGCTCAATCAACAGTCTCATCAAAACAATTCTCTTTATTCCATACACACTTTGAGCATTACAAACATCCGGACAGGAGGGTGTCTGCCAGAAGTGTCTGACCATTTCTCACATTCTTATAGCTCCGGCCCCCCTTCGCACTAAGCATTCACATTCACGCCTCTGTCAGTGCGACCCAAGGCAGCTGTGGCTACAATGTGGCTTGCCATCACCAGTGTGTGTGAATGACTGAATGTAGTGTAAAGCGCTTTGGGCTCCTTATGGACTAAGTAAAGCGCTATACAAATACAGGCCATTTACCATTTACCATCTTTCTCTCTTACAGCGCTTAAGTGACGGCCTTGGCTTCCTGTTTTATCTCCTTCTGATGAGATGGGGCAGAAAACCTCTACAATATGTTCTGTTCTCTTTGTACTCAGAAAAGGAAGGCCATGATTCGACACAAACAGCATATCTTATAACTCAGCAGTATAATGCATCATAAAACAGTGTAATGATTTCACAATCTTTAATCCAAGGAATAATGTGGCCTATAGCCGTATAATGATTCAACAATTCTTTGATTAGAAGTAAAAGGTGGCATAAGATAGTATAGTAATCTCACAATATGCACCCAACAAACCTACAGCAACTGTGTGATGCTGTCATGTCAGTTAGTAGGGCTGGGTTAATTGATGACAGGGTACACCCTGGACAGGTCGCCAGTGTATCGCAGAGAGACAGACACCATTCGCACTCACACCTATGGACAATTTAGAATCATCAGTTAACCCAACTGCATTCAAACTCCACACAGACAGGCTCCTGTGGAGTCAAACTCAGGATCTTCTTGCTGTGAGGCAACAGTGCTAACCACCGCGCTGCCCTGTGAATACTTGTGATCAATAAATGATCAAAAGGGGGGAATGTGATGGCACTGGACAGCTGCTGTACTCTGTACTGTTTTCTGAGACCTTTGCCAAGGCAAATTAAAATCTCACAGAGACAACTTGTTTTGTTTCAGATTTCCGTATCAGCTGATACTGACATAACAGAGTCACACAGTTGCTGTAGGTTTGTTGGCCGCATATCCATGATGTTCCACCACATCCCAAAGGTTCTCTCTGTGAGATCTGGTGTCTGTGGAAGCCATTTGAGAACAGTGGGCTCACTGTCATGTTCAAGAAACCAGTTTGAGATATTGTGAGCTTTGTGCTTTATCCTGCTGGAAAACCGACATCAGATAATGGGTAAAATGTGGTCAAAAAGGGAAAGACATGGTCAGCAACAATAATGAGGCAGACTGTGGTATTTTAAAGATGCTCATTTGGCTCTAAAGGGTTCAAATGGTACCAAGAAAATATTCGTCACACCATTAGATAACCATCACAAGCCTGAAGTGTTGAGACAAGGCAGAATGGATCCATGCTTTCATGCTTGAAAGCGGTTTCTACCAAATTCTGACCCGGCCATTTGAATGTGACAGCAGAAAATCAAGACACTAGATCAGGCAAATTCTTTTTCCATTCTTCTGTTTTCCAATTTTGGCGAGCCCGTGTGAATTGTAGCCACAGTTTCCTGTTCTTAGCTGACAGGAGTGGCACCTGTTGACGTGTTGTGCGTGCAAGCTTAGGTCAACCTTTTGACACAGACTCCACAGCTTACTTGCTATGTAATAAGCCTGCAGTCAGTCAGTGAATGACCTAATCAAACTTGGCATGCTTTAATCTATCCTTGCTAATTAAGGGTTTCATGTTTTAATCTCTCACAGCAATCTTTTTCTTCTAATATATTGACACTCCCCCATCTTTGTTATTTTAATTGTGGCCTTTGCCTTCAGAAATACCTTAATTTTTCATTCCCCATGGCACTGGGGGTGCTGTAAAATGGTTTCAAATCAGTAGATGTAGATGCACATGCACAATACCTATACCTACCTACCTAAAAGTAGATGCACATGCTGATGAATGACCTCTTTTTAGTTTCAAAGAGAAATAATGGGTACCTGCATAGGCCCATCCTCCTCCTCAGTCATGCTGGATTTCCACAATTTCTGCAGAAGCACAAAACTCTGACCTAAATTACATGTATACTGATTTATCATGCAATGTGAATAGAACTAGTAGAGAATTACATGCTACATTGGAAGAAAGATGATTGAAAGATATACCATAAAGGCAAAATTCTGGACAAACAGTCTTGCCTTTGGAACTGGTGGATTAAAAATCCCCTGGAGCAAAAGGGCAGTTAATAATATCTCTATTTAATGAAATGACTATTAAAATAAGCACAGTTTTTTTTTATGCTCTGACAGAATTAAATTGTTTAATATAGTGACCTGCCTTGGAAAGTATGCCAGGTTAGATTATCTGTAAGTTAATGTGCTACTCTGACGACAACAACAACAACAATAATAATAATGATTATTATTATTATTATAACAGTTCCGTTTTATACAGCCACATAGCTAATCAGTTTGCTTAAAGCAACAAAGGAAGCGCCGCTGCTGTCTTCTTGCTCGCGCACGCACCGCTGGCTACAATGGTAAAAGTGCGTGCTCGCTCCCGCTGTGTAGCGACAAGATGGCGGTCGCCGCCGGATCAGGTAAAACGGTTGAGACGTATTAATCACTGCGAAAAGCTATTTTTGAACAGTGTTGTCAATGAATTTTTACCGCGTACCTGTTAGGTTTTATGATTAGATGGATTCTGCATTGAGGCGCCGTGCTATGTTGTGTTATTACATAAAAGCTAAAACAAAGCTGAGGAGAATGAATAGGAAGCGATGCTAGCAGCTAAGCTATCTTAAGTTAGATAAAAGGACAGCAGGTCTCACTTCAGTGCTGTTTTATGGGCGTGGAGCCGTTACTCGCCAGCCATCAGCAAATATGAGACATTGCAACTTGCTTATGCATCTGTGTATTCATTTATACATTTTACTTTAATAGTTTAATTTAGGATGCTGCTTAAATTACAGCATCCTGTTGTCAAACCACAGCACCGCCACCCCACCGGAAAATGACAGCCTGTTTGCGACATCAGATTATTTACAGGCGCGATGTGTTGCAAACCGGGTGTGTAGCGTTACTTAAATGTCATCAAGAAATGCGGGTGAATCCCGCAGTAAGACGGTCTTCCTGCCCGGCTGTTAAACGTAAACAGTGACTGTACGTTTTCCGAGAGCTCATGAGGGAAACATGACCTGCGCTGAGCTTCACTGAGCTTCTCTGGAGACGCCGGTGAGCTGAGCTGAATTGCTGCAGCAGCTGGCAGTGTGACTGGGTTTGTTTGGATGGCTCTGTTAAGGGTGCAGCCTCGTCGTATCTCACTGCGGAGGCCAAGTGATGCGGCACCGCCGGAGCCAGATGCTCAAGTCTCACAGGACGTGAAAATAACACCTGCTCTTATCAAAAGGCTCACGTAGGCTGCGCAGCTGAGGCGTCCCTTATTTTTTCTGTCTTATTGAGTCATAACTTCATAACTGCAAGTCATTTTGTCTGGCACACTGCTGGCAGTTTTATTTAGCTTCGTAAATCTACCTGTGGCTCTGGAAGTTTGCATGACTGAATGGCTGTGTGTTTGCCCACAAACAGGCGTTAAAGTTCCTCGCAATTTCCGGCTCCTGGAAGAGCTGGAGGAAGGTCAGAAAGGTGTGGGAGATGGAACGGTGAGCTGGGGCTTGGAGGATGATGAGGACATGACCTTAACACGATGGAGAGGGGTGATCCTTGGCCCCCCAAGGGTTAGTGGTGCCATTTTTAACACCTGGATGAGGACTTTGCAGGAGCAGGGGAGTGTTGACCAAGCCAAAAGATTAACAGTTACTTAAACCAAAGGTGTCAAGTTTGATTTGTGCATGGCATGATGTTGGGGAGCAAATCAGGTTGTCCATGTGAAGAAGAGGAAAACATCGAGGCACTAACACTACTTTGCAGTGCTTCGAATGAATGTTATTGAATTAAAACAGAATAAATGTGAAGCAGAAGCACAATTAAACTCCTGACTAAAGACCAAATATCGCATAAGTTTGCAGCATAATGTTGTTTTTGACTGCTGACAGATGCCCCAGTATCTTTTTAGTTAATTTTTAATTATAGGTATTTATAAATACTTAGCACTGCTCAGTGCTAAGCTGTAAAGTTGAAATGACCTATATGAGACTGTTATTGAAAATGCTGTTGTTAAATTAATGGCTGCAGTCCTTTGAGGACCTCTTTCACAGGACCATGGACATTACCGTATGTCAGATTGCAGCTGGGTCAGCCAGTTTGTCTTCATTTACTGTGCGACTGGGTAAAACTGCAGCAGTGCTGTCACAGTTACAGCCTGTATGCAGGGACCATAAAAAAATTCTGGCATACAACCAAATGTTTTGGCCAGAGCCAAAAATTGTAATAAAATTAGCAGTTATGTTAATTATAGCAGACATTTTTGTTGATTAGATTAAAGCAAAAGGCACAGATTTGTGTAAAAACAAGGTACCGCAGACTCTTTAAACTCTGCCCAGGGCCTTTGTGAGTCAGGAGAAAAAACCCCTACAAGGGTATTTCCTGCCTTAGTTTTCACATGATGTTGTTGCACTTAGTGAACATTGTGTACTTTTTTTTTTGTTCTTCAAAGTTTGGTGTGCTGTCTTCTCACCTCTCCCTAACTTTCTTCGATCAACAGACAAGCTATGAAAACAGGATGTACAATCTGAAGGTTGAATGCGGGCCAGGATACCCAGAATCACCACCTTTTGTCAGATTTGTGACAAAGATAAACTTGAATGGCGTGCACACCTCCAACGGTGTGGTATGTGAATTATTTATTTCACTTATAATAAATAATCACTTATATTATATTTATTCTTCAGCTTGATTGGCTCATTTCGGATGCACTCTGTGGAAGGAGCATCATATCTGCTCTGTGGAGTCAGATAAACAACTGATCAACTAGCTTAAACTGGCCTATCACTGATATGTCAGGATATATGTTTCGTATCATCTTATCGTTTAATACTCTCACTTACTGTTAGAATATTGGCTGAAATATCAATATAAGATTTTATTGACTCCTTAAAAGTCCCAAAAGGTCCAGCTCTACAGTTGTCTGGTTATGAGTTCATATCATCTTGTTTAGAAGATGGCCATTGCATCCATGGAACAAGAGAATAATAGATGATTTACATTATGTACATCTCGATCTTTATTTAGATGTTTTAGGATTTTCCAAGAGTTTTTTTTTTTTAAGGTTTTCAAAAATTTGTTATTTTTTGGGTTTTTTTTTCTTACTTTCCTTGGGCCCCTTGCAGTTTGGGAGGAAGGTGGGGGGCCGTTTCGGCTTTCTTTTTTTTTTAAAACCCCCTTTTTTTTTTTTTTACTTTTAATGCCGTATAATATTATAAGAAATTAATATTATAAGAGAATAATTGTCTAATATGGTCATCTCAGGCACACTGCTCTACCTGTAAACACCCACCTGCTACTCAAACCTTTTATTTTACTTGGCAAAACGCTGGGGGCAAAGGATAAAATTGCTTGTTTCAGTCTGTGGATAAACTGAGAAGCTGTACCAAGGTAATTCATTAAGGATCGCTGTGAGCTATGGATCATGCAAAGCGATACTAGTCTATTTGGAAATAGAATAGATACAAAGGTCCCCTTTTTTGCACGTAAATAACATGACTTCCTCGCTTCTTTGTGGGTGGTTGCACTCATTTCACTTGGTCCAGCATGTCAGTGCTCATTCATCTGTTGCTCTGCTTTTTTTTTTCTCTAATTGTATGCCCAAGGTTAATGTGTGAAGCTTGACTTAAACACATTGCAGGTTAAAGCAGCAGTAAATCAGTTTCTATAAAAATAAAATAAATATGAATATAATGGATCTGAACAATGAAATACATTTATTAAAAAATAAATAATTTTTAAAAACATTTTGGTGCTTTAAAAAGGTAAATCCAAGATGGGGGATAATTACAATGTCTAACTGCATCCATCTCCACCCTGCAGGTTGACATGCATGCAGTGTCTGCGCTGGCCAAGTGGCAGAACTCCTACAGTATCCGGATGGTGCTGCTGGAGCTTCGACGGCTCATGACCTGCAAGGAAAACATGAAGCTTCCTCAGCCACCTGAAGGGCAGATCTACACCAACTGAGCCCCTGCTACTTTTGACTCCATGTTTTCTTTTTGTTTCCCACTTGTTCCTCTCTCTCTGTTTTGCTTTCATCCCTTTATCCCATCCCCCGCCATGTGACATTCCACCTCCCATCAACACCTTGGCTGAATGCACACACAACAGAAAACTTATGAATACAAGCAGATACATGCAGACGTACACACAGACACTGCTGTAAACACACACACACACACACACACACACACACACACACACACACACAAA